CCTATATAAGTAATCAAGAAAATAATAAAAATATTTAGAACAATAATATTTAATTAAATTTATTAAATTTTATGTGAATAATATTAAATAATATTTTGTAATATTAAAAATACTAATATGTCTTAATATTAGATACACATTTTCTGTTGTTTATAATATTAAGTACAATTTTTGCAATCAAAACGTCCCTTCAATATCTTATCTTTGAATAATGCTTGAATGATGACAACATGTGTGAAGTTAGCTACTAGAAGTTGTTAATCACATAGCAAAAAAGTAGAGAGTATCGTAATTTTCATATCGTAAGACTGTTTATTGTCAGAGAAATCATTATTTTCGTATTAAGCAATTGATGTTTTTTATCTTATGTAATATCTATGAATTATATTTAATAGCATTTATTAATCGACAAGTAGACTAGTGTATTTTTATTACAGGTCATAAAGGTGTACTATGTGATTCATTAAATAGTGTAAAACAACCTCGATATGAAATTTGACATTTGACCACGTATTTGACGTATGTGCATGATATACTGCTATCATGAATGTAGTTGAAGTTGTTTAATTATATGACTATATCATGGTATTCAATGATTTGTTGCAGGACAGAACAACTAATCAACTGTTTTTTAAAAAAAAAAGAGATTATTTGAATCAGTTTCTATTACTTCTTAGGTTTAATATTAACAATTCAAGATGAAGAAGAAGGTATACAAATTTTTTATTGATTTCTTTAGGTTATTAATACAATTTTTTATAAGTTTTATATACAATGAATATTTTATATTTTTTAGGTTCTGTTAATGGGTAAAAGTGGTTCAGGAAAAACAAGTATGCGTAGCATAATTTTTGCTAATTATATTGCTCGTGATACTCGTCGTCTAGGTGCAACAAGTGTGTAATATTTAGATAGTACTGTTTTATTAAAAATTATTTTCTGTATTATTTATTAATTTATTGGTTTGTTTAATAGTTGATGTAGAACATAGTCATGTTCGATTCCTTGGTAATTTGGTATTAAATCTTTGGGATTGTGGTGGTCAAGAAGCATTTATGGAAAATTACTTTGCTTCACAACGTGACAATATATTTAGGAATGTAGAAGTTTTGATCTATGTTTTCGATGTAGAATCCAGAGAATTAGATAAAGATATGCATTATTATCAGAGTTGCTTAGAAGCAATACTACAAAATAGTCCAGAAGCAAAAATATTCTGTTTAGTACATAAGATGGATTTAGTACAAGAGGATCAACGAGATTTAATATTTAGAGAAAGAGAAGAAGATTTGAGAAGACTTAGTTTGCCACTCGAATGTACTTGTTTTAGAACTAGCATATGGGATGAAACATTATATAGGTATATGGTTATAACTGTACAATAATTTTAATTTATAATATTTTAGAAATCAATATAAATTACTATGTTCAGGGCATGGTCATCAATTGTATATATGTTGATTCCAAATGTGAAGGAGCTTGAAGAAAGTTTGAAACAATTCACCAATATTATTGATGCTGATGAAGTTCTTCTTTTTGAAAGAGCAACATTTTTAGTGATTAGTTATTGTCAAAGACAATTTCATAGAGATGTACATCGATTTGAAAAAGTTTCTAATATAATAAAACAGTTCAAATTAAGTTGCAGGTAAATTATAGAAAGAATAAAAATTAACATGAACTAATTTAAATTTATATTTACAAATTATATTTTTAGTAAACTGGCAGCACAATTTCAGAGCATGGAAGTTAGAAATACAAATTTTGCTGCTTTTATTGATGTATTTACATCAAATACATATGTAATGGTTATTATGTCAGATCCTGCAATTCGTAAGTATTTATAATCTTTATTCTTTTTCTAGTAAATACTGAAATATTTATTCATACTGTTTCAGCATCAGCAGCAACATTAATCAATATTCGTAATGCGCGAAAACATTTTGAGAAACTAGAGCGTGCTAGTCAAAGTTCGGCATTAAGTAGATAGAAATCAGCTCGACCCAGGCGCCGTGTCACCCGGGTCCAGGCTGTTAATCACTATTGAATCTAAGAGTCACTTTGAAAGAAAGAAATCGTCAAAATGAAAGTGCATCAGAACTTTCTTTTTTATTGATTAAAGTGAATTAATAATTTTGCTAATAAATGAATAATTTCAATATGTAATTTGTAACAAAATCATTAATAGCAGTATCATTTGCAAACAATTACATTGTTTTCCAGGAAAGTCTGAATTATTCATAGTTTATTTTATACGAAATTTAAAGAAATACTTAAAAATTTTGATAAGTATGTATGTTAATAAATAAATATAACAAATAAATACCTACTAGTGTGAAATTATGCGCTATTCATATCATATTAAGTGAACATATATTATTGTTCACTTTCAGTAAATATTTTCTTGGCTCTTAGATAATACATGGTTTCTTGGGTTAAGCTTTTTCCTGATTCCATGGTATTGTGTATTTTATTTCTGTATAGCTATTATTCTGGCCTGTTACAAAGATATATATTTTCTTAAATTATATTCACTTAATATAATAGTGTATATACCTATTATACTAACCATAATACTGCAACAAGTAAGCTAACTAATTGTATTTTTCAATTTAAATAATGATAGTATTAAATTATATGTTATATTTTGTATAAAATTTTGATTGGTATCTTTTGACAAACATAAAAAACCAATATTAAACTTGTATGAGTTTATTTACAGCTGTATTTATGAAGAAACAATAAAAGAAACATGGAATAATAAAAGCTTGCGCTTTTACATGTATTATTAAACTGTATTTTTAAATTGCATAAATAAATAAAGTCATTAAATTAGATATAATTTTGATATTCTATTTGACTCAATTGTTGATTTCGAGATATATTTAAAATTGCCGCCATTTATTCAGCAATGGTGAATTCGTGTGTTGTCATCATTTTGGACTGATATAACGTAGTAAAGTGTCTATAGAGCTTACTATGGATAGAATAATTAAAGGAATAATGAAATATAGAAATTGCCATAGGGAAGGAATGGTGAAACAGTTTCAAAAAGTTCGAGATCATCCTGAAGTACGTTAACATTCTTTTGTCTAATCAGTGTCGATAGTTTATAAATGTGGTTTTTTGTGGTGTTTCATGTTTCATAGCACATTAATAGTTTAATTAAAGAAACATAATAATAATTATTTTTGACATTTATAGTAAAACAAAATAAAATAAAATAAATACTTATTTGTTTCATGGTTTTTTCTACTATTTGTTAAAGAGCAAGTTTCTTTGAACTATGCTCTTATATTACATATATATGTACATACATTATATGTCCTTGAAAAAGGTCATTCAAAAGGGAAATAAACATACGCATGTGTTCGAAATTTTATCTTGTACAAGCACGTGTTAGAAGTTACTTTAATCATGTGACCTACAAAGATTAATTTAATAGTACATTAAATATTTATCAAGTTAAAATATTAAAACATAAATATTTAAAATATGTTTTGTTATTGATATTTGCTCTTGTGTGAAATATTTATTGCATTTGTTCCTGTTTAAATTGTATCATGCATGCAAATAATATATATATGTATACACAATAATTCAATCCAAAAATAGCACTCATATCATTTGCACCAAAAGTATAAATAATATACTGCAGTTTATACAAATTACATTACTAATGTAAGGTGCAATATTAACACTTACTGCCGTAATTGATTTTTGTCGTTACTCTTATCACAGCCAAAGGCAGTATTCTTTACCTGCATGGACTCACGGATGATCCCAACTAGATTTACGGAAACAAACGTTGGGGACATGTTTGTCGGTACGAGATCTCACGATGCATTATAATATACTCAAATATGAAACTTGTTTTGTCTTTTATTTACAGTTGTATATTGCAGTTTAATATAATTAAACAATATTGTGGTTGTTGGAATGTTTGTTAAAACATATTCTATTTTTTAAATAAATATCCTGTTGGTAATATATTCTGTTAAACATCGAATGATCAGGAAAATAAATATTCGATTTGAAAATGACCAAATCGAAGTTAATTATAATTTCTACTAGATAATATTATTTTTATCACAAATTTCGTATTTTTCAGTAAGAAATGCTGGTAACCTTATTCCCCATTCTCAGCATTTTGTGGACGAATTAACAATGTGCGAACCAGCGGCCTTAGAACTTGGTTGTGTAATAAATGACATAAGACACATAATAGTTTGTGGCCATAGTGACTGTAAAGCTATGAATTTGTTATACGCTTTGCGAGACGAAGAATTCGCATCAAAAGTATGTATTTAATTACTTTTATAATTTTTATTTTACGAGTCTATTTTATAAATTTATAATAATGTCTATTTTTTAGGCGAATAGAAGGATATCACCATTAAGAGCATGGTTGTGTGCACATGCTAGTAGCAGTTTAGCAAAGTTTCAACAGCTTGAAATCACTGGCTTCCGTGAACCGATACTTTTTCAAGCTGAAACGCCATTACGAAAGTTCGTGGCTTATATAGACCCTGAAAATAAATTTGCCATAGAGGACAAATTATCTCAAGTTAGTATAAATACAGATTAATTACATTTTAATCTGATATAATCACCTAATTTTTATTATTAAATCGAGTCGTTTTCATGTACTCGATTATAATCACTTCGACAATCGCTAATTGCAAAATTATTTATTGAAAGAAACTGCAATTTACAGTGTATAATATATTTTAATATAATTCTAATTTCAGATAAATACCCTACAACAACTACAAAACATAGCTTCCTACGGATTTTTAAAAAAACGACTTGAAAGGCACGATTTGCACATTCATGCGCTATGGTTCGATATATATACTGGTGATATTTATTATTTTAGCAGGGCAAATAAAAGGTTCATGGAAATAAACGAAGTGACTGAAACACTTTTACTTGCGGAAGTTACAAAATATTATTCTTAAGTTGCTTGATGGTAAAAGAGTATCGTTTATATAGGTAGGATATTTTTTACGGTTGAGACTGAATAACTTCAATTTGTTGAATCTTTTAAGAACGTTCAAATGTGGAGTGGCTGCGACTTAGATACTCGTTCAATTGAAGACCATGTAATGTACCTGGATGTGAAAGTAGTGAATTCTCTTCCCTCTTTTTTATTAAGATTCATATTACAAACTTGTTTGCACAAAATAGACCGTTGTGATACTGTTAGAGGTATTTATAATAAGAATATTTAATATAAATTTATTTCTAATAATGTGCCATGTACAGTAAGATATTTTACTGTATATTATTATACGCATACGGGCTTTTATATAGTCTATATTCATGACATTAAGGTACAAAGAAAAAATTATTTTTTTCTGAATAGGATATACTCTACTAAAATTGTTAGAATATTGAAAGAAACATTATTTTTGGAATTATGTAAATGGTATGATATTTTATGTATTGTTATACAATATATACAAAGTTTATATCCGTAATATAATTATAATGATTTACATAATTGTACATACTTTTACATATAATTTATATAACTGTGTACATTTACTGTGATAAAGATACAAAATATATTTGTTGTTTTTGAAATCTTCGGTTTGATTCATTTAACGATCCATTTGGTTTCCCACCGATTTGGTTCAATATACATTGCGCCTGAATCCCGTAAAATTGAAGTCGAGGAATAAGAGTTGGAGGACGTACCGTAACTGACGGATGGACGGTTTCGTGGCCAGGCGAACTAGAGCATGCCACTCCCGAAAGAGAAAGCAAAACAACGAACCAAGGTGTAGAATTAGGATGATGATAAGTACGGTATCAGAGGTTCGGAGTCGATCTATCGATGCAATGTATAACAGATATTCGCACCTATCATAAATATGAAAAAAATGTAATTTTAATTTTTCTGTAAGAATTATTTACTTAAAAATTATTTATATATTAAAAATAGTAATATAACGTATTTAATTTGATTTTCTTCTAATTAAATTGTAAGGTAAATTGAACAAATTTTACTACAGTTTTCTTATAATTATTTTAAAATTAATGATTTCATTTGTTTACATAACTTTCACCAGTTTCAGCTAATTCCCAAGTAACAAATATTTAAAAATTACTGTACATATGAAAAATAAAAGTCAGTATGCTGCAACAATTCAATAACTCAACCGCTTTTAAAATTATTTCATAGTTATATAATTTACACAATTAAAAAATAATCATGTATTTCTGTTTTAAACACATCTAGTGCATTATTTAAGCCACAACGAGTAGTGCAAGAGTTAAAATTTAAATAATTTATCAATTATTTTTAAATTTCTTTCAATAAAAGTGAACTATCTAATTGTTTTACATTGCAGTGCAAGTATTAAAGAACTTGGACGTGCACAAAAATCTCATGACTCGTCAGAAGTAAGTATGTCTTTTACTCGTTTATGAGCAACTGTGAACAGATCGTAGTTGCGGGACAAGACACTCACACATTCTAGAAGCTCGTGGCCAGACGCGAAAAATGATTCGAGCGGCTCGCGCTTTTCAGCGTCTTTTGCGGTAAAAGTGAAGAGGATTCGCTACTCTGTCTAGGCGAATCCTCGAGTTAGGCCGGTTAGGCTGGTCTACGGACTGTGACGAGCTCCGACATGGTTGCCGCGAACCGGAAGGTGGGAGATCAAAGAATCTCCTCAGTCCCAGGAGACGATACGTGCGTTCTTCTTCTGCTTCTCCCTCTTCTGTTTCTTCTCCTTTTTCCTTCCGAGATCTCGCACCCCACGAATCGCGCTGGCACACTGGCCTGGATCGTTCTGGGGTATCTATCACGGTGGAAGTGTGCGCTGTAAATATAACACACGTTATACGTTAAAAAGTAAAATCATGTCATCTTTTATCTTCCGACGTAAGCGAGATTCAGAGCAGAACATTTTTAGGAAGCGAAGACTACTGTATGTTTGGAATATGTGATCAGATCTGCTTTGTCGATATCAATTTCTTGTAACTGGATTAAATGTATTTTCAGGTGATGGATGACCTGTTATGTTTGGATCGATTACTATATGTATAACGAAGCAAAATATATTGTAAACATCTTTTATATGTGATAGAAGAAAAGTGGGTCACAATTTATTTCATTTATTTACATATTTATCAATTGGGTTGAAATTTATTAAATTATTTAAAAATGATATCAAGATGAAACGCAGAGTGTAATTAAAAAATATGTCTTGATAGACAATGTAGGTAGTATATGTATATGTACATATATAGGTATTGAGGCAAATATAGGTATTCATATTTATATATTGCTTTTACTTTAATGATATTTTTATTAACTTATTTCACGTGTTTTTATTCTTTTGAAGTTATTTATACTCAAATTAAAATTGGAATATGAAACCACAGTATACAGTATGGTATATAAAATATGCTTACATTAAAAATATCTGTGTATAATTTTGTTTAAAAATAAAAAAATCCTTTCTATTTATCTTTTTAAACTTTATTTGATTTTCATTAAGTTAACAGACGAATATAAATTATTTAGATTAGACATACAATATTATAACATATATTTCAATGCAATATGTCTTACTTTCTAATTTCATTTTCTTAATTGTTACACTAGTTATTAAAATTATTTACTTTACTAACAATCTTACCTAATGTGATTCTAATTGATTGTATTCCAAATGTACCATATTATATTAGAAATAATCATGTATCTATTTTGATTGCTACAATTAACAATGATCCTAAGAAAAAATTGGATGACAAATGAATTAATACTAAAGCAATAATATTAAAAATGAATTCATTTCTATCAATCATTGAAAAACATTTAACATCAGAACTATCAGCCTCAATGTGTATCTAAATAAAGTTTATACAGTTAATAATAATTAAAGTGACCTGATGAAAATAAATAGGTAAAAGTAATTGCGTGCTTTCATTAACTGCAAAAGCAAGAAATCTGAAAGCAGTAATTTCGATTGCTTTAGTAGTGTTAATATTAATTAATTATGCAGTATTTAATAGTAGTATAGAGTAGAATATTAAAAGCCAAACCATTCATTTCTTTCTTCTTCTCGTTTCGACATAGTTGTAGCTATTTTCCCAAACGCCTATCGAGCTCCCACAGGCGGGTTCACAAAAAGCGTTTTAAAGCGTGCACACCACCGAGCTTCCGTGAAGGGTGTCACCTTTAAATTAGACTCGGTTACGAAATTCAGGTGCACGGTAGTCTCGTAGTTCGCTTACCTGATCGAACAATATTGTTTACTGCCACTGCACTACCGGACAATTTGCGTAGTTTTGTGGCCAGGGGCCGAATTGAGGAGTCTAGCAGAGCCACGGGGGGTGCTCCTCGGGCGAACCAGGAAGTCAAAAAGAAGCGATTGACGGCCTTTCAACCCTCTGTTCACCACAATTCTTCGACGTGCCGCTTCCGTGTCCGCCTTAAGCCTTTGTTCCGTAAATGGCGGAACGAGTTTCACCGAAATATCGCTTCATAGACATCCCCTTTACGAAGATTCAGCGATATTCGAGAGACGCTTCCGTGACTTAATTTACGCATTCTTCAATCACTACGAACACAAATATTTTTATGAGTACGCGTCAAGAAAAAATTTGTTTTATCAACGTGTATAATTTAAAAAAAAAATATTTTTATTATTTTATAAAAAGTATACGCTAATTTTATTATTTATAAAAAATTGTATTATTACATATCATTATAGATTATTCATTAAATTTGTAATTGATATCTATTTGATATGTATATCTAAACAATAGTTTACAAATATTAATACATTTAGAATATATCAAAGTATGCAAATAAAGTAATATGAAATGAGAAGATATATATGAATTGAGCAATGGGTATATGTTCAAAATATATTATAATAATGGAAATTGTATTATTTAGATATTATTATTATATTATAAATTTAAGTTGCAATAAATTATAAACATTTTTGACACTAAAACTAATTTATAATTTTGTATGTATTTATAGATTAACATAAATACTATAATAGAGATGTATTTATTAGATATTAAATTTGCTTTAATGTTTATAAATTATCTCTTCTAATTTCATAATTTATAATATAATTTTGAAATTGACGTTTCTCATCAAAATTACATTTTATTTTTAAATAATTCCCTCTTGGCTATTTTCAGTTATTTTCGTTTACTTGATATACATATATATCAATATATATAATTATTTGTTCCAAATATATAACAGGTCTCTCAATATCAATTTTATATTTCTATTAATTTTATTTTTATTTTCATTTCTAAGGTAGTAATTTTATAAAACTTCAATAAGCACCCTCAGTCTAGTAATGAAAAAATATAATAAAATGTACAAACAGAGAGAAATGAATTAAATATTATATTATGATAATAGCGAATATACAGTTTCAGTGTTGAAATAAAATAAATTTTCCAATAATAACAATAACAATAGAGGAGGTAAAAATCGAAATTTAATATTACTTATTCGAGGAAATACTAATAAATCAGTTACTTACATCCATAAATTATAAAAGACACGTATAACTATTAACAAAAATGATTAAAACAGTCCGAGTAATTATTTGAATTATACATTTTTCCATCGTTAATTTATAAACTTAAAGAACTTAATAACAGAAGTATTAATAATAGTAATTGATATATAAGCTGTGTAATCATACAAAATTACAGTTCTCGAGATATATCTTTAATATTTTTTACCTAAAGTTAGGACTACGTACATGCAATTTCGACAGAGCATCGAAATGCCCTGGAAAAACCCGCGAGTCTACTGTTTTGTCGATTTACGGTGCATTCGTCATAACACTTTTGTAGGTGGGATTGGATAACGTTCCTCGTACGAATTTACTCGGTACGTTAATTAATTACGCGGATACGACGTCGTTAATTTTTCCACGCTCAACGGGCCTTCCTTGCCGCGAGCTGACGTTCGTACAAGAATAGGGTTTCGGAAAAATACACGAGCGTAACGAAGTAGTAATGCCACCGGGGACTGCAGTGTGTTATGCTTCGGCGCACACCACTGGCCACGCACTCTTTTTCTTCGACCGGACTAAAACGAAAGAAAAAAGGAAAAAAGAGATCGTGCGAAATCGTGACATCGTTACTATCTCCTATGCTTCAATAGCGAATCTATCTAACTTCTCGATTTGCTGAAACGGG